CCTCAGCATGGCTTCCTAAAAACGCTGCAGGATTTCTCAAACATGCATAAATGAGTGGGAGCAAGGCTTTGTTTTTTATGAGAGTATAACATTATAACATGATATAAAACTCAAAAAAGTTGATTTTACATGACATTACCCCTTTAAGGAATTCAAGGCTTAATTTTTTTATTGTTTATGCAGAAAAGCCCTCTCTATGGAAAGAAGTGAAATGGTAGTTGCATGTAGCATGTGGTGGACTATTTTAGACACTGWGTATATTTTTGGTAGTTACAATATCACATTAGGTACATCAGCAGTGTTTGTGAAATTTAAGTAAAATAAGGACCCATTAACATTTTGAAATACTGGTTTCTTTTCCTCAGCTTTTAAATGCAGAGTAAAAGGGTAGATTTATCAGTATATGACCAATCAAGCTTGTGACCGTGGTCTTCATATAAAATTCAGCTAGATCATCCTAAACCATTTTTTGTCAAGCAAAGGTTTAGAATACATATGTGTGCATAAAATATGAAAAATAGCTCTTATTCAAATGTTGTTTATTTACTTATAAGCATATACAAGAAACAATGAATCATTCCTAAAGACTCAAATTAGCACAATTTGGATGTAAAACGTCAACCTTTAAACTATAGCCATCAAAAATATAGCAAAAYATATTTTTACAGGCCATGCATAACTGTGCAAAGACTTTCAAATCTTCATAACTTTGCTCTGTTATATTTAGTGTGTATAAGTATGCATAAGTTTGCAGTATGTAGACTCAAAGTAGAGATAGAACAAAGGAGCATATTAAGGAGTAATCAATATCATCAGCACATTTTAAACCTTTCCAAAGTGTATAAAAAATTAAATGATAAGTTATGCAGATTATGCCTATGAAAAACAATACATTGATGAAATAGATAAATAATACAAACACTGTGCATGATATGCTCATTTATGTCACATAGTATCTCATTGCATCAGATTTGGTCTTTTATATTTTTACTATCACCAATTGACTTTTTTTTTACTTTTAAAAGATTTATAAGATTAAAAAACACTTTCATTTGGATTGTGGCTGAAATTCCTATCAAGCTTCTCAATAAATAAATAAATTTTTGTTCCAAATTATGTTATCAAATCTTTAATCAAACAGTTGGTTTCCACTCATGTCTAGTCTCGTTCAGGAATTAGCTGTCCCAGTTCAAACTTGTTACACCCGTACAGCTCTCCCACGCTTTAATGTAGTATAATAATACTTGTCAAAATCTCAGTCCCACCAGAAAATGCATGGTTTATGGATCTGGGAAAGTTCTTGTTTGTTTTGGAAGTGATGAAAGCTGAGTGTCAGCATTATAGCTGCTATTTTGAGGTCGGTTTCTTGGAATCAAATCAGGATTGTAAGAAAACGTGAAATTTACTTTGACCTATGCTTTCTCTTTGGCAGGTAACAAAATGCCCTTGAGAAACTGTACAATAAACTCCACAAGCGATGAGACGATTGTGGGGAATCAAACCAGCACAACCCTGGGCGCCCTCATCCTCACCGTTGTCTTCCTCCTGGGATTTCCTGGAAACCTCTTTGTCATTTGGAGCATCCTGGCACGAGCCCGAAAGCAATCTGTTACTACCTTACTTATCCTCAACCTAGCCATTGCTGATGGCTCTCTGATGGCTCTCACCCCGTTCTTCATCGTCTACCTTGTTCTGAAGAACTGGGTGATTGGGAATGTGATGTGTAAGATCCTCTTCTACCTCTGTTTGGCCAACATGTATGCCTCCATCCACCTCATCATGCTGATGAGCATCTATAGAATGATATCGGTGATATGGCCACGACGAATCAGTGTGGTCACGGGCAAGAGGACCCTTATGCGTGTCCTGGGAGTGGTGTGGGGACTTGTGATGATCGTCTCTATTCCTGCGCTTATCTTCCGAGAAGTAACGTGTAAAAAGACATCCCAAGGCTTGGCGTGTGATCCACACCATGAAAAAAACCGAGACGTAAGTCAGGATGATTAATCCCAGTTTATTAATAGTATAAATAACAACGGACTGAGATCATTTCCCCTGTATTCTCCACTGTGTTGTTCTTTCCTTCCCAGGTGGTTCTGCAGTACACACTGGAGCTTGTTTTAGGATTTCTGTTGCCGTATGGGGTCATCGTTGTCTGCTATATTTGCATTTTGCGACGAATTCGCCAGACCAAATTCAACCGTCATATTCACAGTGAAAAGCTCATTCTTGCCATTGTGGTGACTTTCTGCCTATTCTGGTTGCCCTACCATGCCCTCAATGTGGTTCAAGTAGGTTCCATTTTTCAWAGCATAATGACTCTAGAGCAATGGTTCTCAAACTTTTTTATAACAAGTACCATGTCAGTAAATTCTAAGCTTTCCAAGTATCAACTATTGCAACAGACATTATGTAAAAAGCAGTAGAACAAGCTTCTATTTATGAGATAAACATAAAAAATGGTCCAAATCCCTAAAACTAAACMTRGCTGAAAGGCGCACCTTAACAWKTGATGGTTCAGTGCATGTTGAGAAYAGCACAAAAAAGGAGTTTTTGTCTTTTCTTCTTACTACAAAAACAAAATACCATTTTTGCAATAGTTTAATTCAATATTTTTTGTTCATGGTTTAGCTTCACTTGAGGATCTTTTGGAGCAGGGGTCAGAAATCTTTTTGAGAGCTACACAAAGGGCAACTTGTTTATTGCAAATTTGCATGGCTCACCTTTATTTATAGTATTGTTATTATTAAATCTATACAAGTGAATGTTTGACTGCCTGTTTACATCTTAATGTTAAAGACTCCTCATGATAATTCTAATAATAATTTACTAATGTAGATATAATTAATAATTAAGTAATAACAATAAATAAGTAATCTGACCTGTGTCTGTTCTGTTTGAATCCCTTTTGGAGCTTTTTTGYRTGTGTCYAGGWGTGACTGGGAGTGTTGTTTGTCACTTTGTTTTGTCGCTGATAGAGACCTGTCCAGGTGTCCCTGTGATGGACTCAACCTTTATTAGTAACAAGGAGCAAATAGCAGATGGATGATATTTTTATAGCAGGAAACATATATTTAAATATAAAACATTTTTTCTGTAAAAAAAGAATTCGCCCAATCACTGAAAATAATGTTTTCCTACGTTTTAATGCTTGTTTCCACTCTGCTCAGAGACATGAACAGACTGTGAGCCCTGCGGTGTTAATTTTCCCAGTTCCAAAGTGGGGTGGAGTTAGGTGTGTGTAAATTAGCTGTTTGCTGTGTGTTTAGCATGAGGTGTGGCTTTATCAGCACTGCTCTTTTGATGGTGAGTGCTATTTTTAGCACATGTCCCTTGAGGGGACGGTGTTGGTGACCTGTTTTCGAGAGTTCACTGTAGCTGCTCAAGTAGCTAACATGATGTGTAGATCATCATCAGCACAGTTTTCACAAGCC